ATAAATTTCATATCTAAGGTGTATATCAGCAATGTCTCGGGAGAGTGCCGAAAAACTAATTTTGCAGAAGTTTTGCCCCTTGAAAATAGAAATAATTGTAGTTGTTGCCTTTGAACAGATAAAATATATGCAACATAGTAGACATTAGAACTCTGTTCTATTTTTGTTTAATTTTAACATCATTGCACTTTTAGGCAAATAGGTATCTGAAATAATTCCAAATTGTGACAGACGTTTTAAGCAGTTTTCGTCTGCTAGTCTTCGCATATAATGTACTGTTTGCTTCAAGCAGGTGTATATGTGTAATGGGAAATTTATATCCAGAATAATCATTTAAATCAAGATTAAATAAATTTGATCTTGCTTCAGCTTTTTTCATTGCAATAAAGAACCCTTCTTTGGTTTAATGTCTAAAACATCAACCACTTCACGCAATGATTTGTTACACCAATGCCACTAACGGGTTCCTTCGATATTGACACAGATGGACGACTTTAAACTAAAATCTATGACAAACGTGATGACGTCTTCATTCTAGCAGTAAATGCCCTCTGGCACATCGTATGGCGTATACATAAATTAATGTATACGTTACGCTAGTGCGTGTAGACATTATACGTCCTTCATTAACAAGGGTGATCTTCTGACAAAACAAAACACTGCCCTTACAGAATGTGAGGGAGAGGACAACTGAAATCGACACTACACCCGTTGTTACGGTCACCATCACCAATTGGTTGATTCGTATGACAGGTAATTCATGAATAGCAGAAGACCCTGTCCATGCAACCTGATGCTCCTTTTGGGATCCATGCCTCAGATGTATTTTACATTGATTTGTATCTTCGGAATGGATTCACAGCGGTTGCCTCTAATTGCTTACCCGCACAAGTAAATAACCACACTCATACGATCTATATCTTTAAAGTTTTATTTTCACAAAATTCTGTTCTTAAAATGTATTATTTCAAACTGTAAATACTTGTTTGCCATTGATTATTAATATGGAGCGTACGTTTACAAGTACTCTTGCCTGTAGAAGCACATAGTCCTGACAGTATGCACAACTGATATAGAATATTTTTGCAGAGATTTATCGCACAACAAACTTTCTAATATTGAACATGGTGCGTTGTCTGATCTTCAGTCATTGCGTAAAATGTAAGTATCTTAACACCACATGCAAATTTAGAAGTAATAAATAAGAAATGCTGATCTGTACGATCGACAAAATAGTAAATAAGAGTTGATAATTGCATTACCTTTCTAGCAAATATTTGATTATCCACTCATTTCGAATAATCTGCTGACACATACACAGCCTAACAGAATTTGATCGAAATATAAACAATGAATAAAAACATAGCTATTTGAAGAATGTTTTAAATCAGATCGGTGTACAGAGTCGAAACACAGTTCACTTATAAGAAATGAGAATATTTGGTAATTTGATAATGTAAAAGGAAAGGTGTTATTAACTCACAAAACGTCCTGATATTGTGGCGATAAGTTAACAAACTTTCAAATGATTTGTTTCGATAATTGAACTCTGAGTTAAAGACGAATGTTTTGGAATTTCAAGATTGATTCTGCCTTAAATCTATAACGACAAATTAGAAATAGAAAATAGAAGAGTAATATGCCAATATGCAACAACAAAAGATTACTTTTAAATTCATTCAAACTATGGTTTTCATTTTCAAAATCGGTATTTACACAGGTCATTAGTGTGTGTCTTAATACATATTTCATTGAAACGTGATTGTTTTTTTTTCAATATTTACCCTATCGTTCTGAAATGAAATAGCTCCATATTAGTATGTACGTTAGGTATAATGTTATGTACGATGAAATCACCTTCAACTACAATTAATGTCAACGGAAATAACAAAATGAAATCAACACTTCAATATTTGGTACATCCGAAGCGGTATTCGAGATAAACCTTCAAAGGGGACGTTACTCGGGGGGATTGGTGGGAACTTCAATTCTTAATTGATAGGTGGTGCCGCTGTGGTTCTGTTACCTCATATAATCTTTATTTTAAAAATGTGTACCTTTTAAATTATTGCGTAGGTTAAAATGTAATACATTCCCATATTGCTTGGGTTTCATGTGGTGTTTAATGAATGGTATACCAAAGTGTCAAAAGAGAAAAATTAGTTGATAAAAACACAACAGAGAACATCAAAAAAGATGACAGACGTAGAGGTTATGGCCTTATTGACCTTATCATATATTGCTGATAGTTTTCCCGACCAATTCACACATTTTTAAGCCTGAAAAGGTGACCTTATTCCAGTGGCACATTTAATCACCTTGTATATAGGAAGTGGTCCCCTCGAAGGACGCTCAAACCAAAATAACTGACAGCCGATGATGTATGAGTGCTTGAATACGTTTGGAACTATATAATAAGAATTGTTAAAAAAGAGATATTTATATTCAGAACATTACGTAAATTAGCTATCCTGTGTCATACAATTAGAATCCACGATAAACACTTTTCTTGCTTTCAAATTTTGCAGATTTTTATTTGACAACAAATTATCCAGCTTTAAACCCGATACGTTCACTAGTCTTGGATCATTGATTGAATTGTAAGTATTTTCATTTTTTAACGAAAACTGATATAAATGGAGATCGATCATTATAAATTAACAGACAAGTTGTTATTCACTGTGGTTAATGTGTTTTGGGTTAAACAAAAACACGAGCGCGTCATAGAGAAAACTTAAATTTGTCTAAAAACGTAATGTAGATCCTATTTTTTTTTATGTAATAAAAAGTATTAGTCATAGGTTTTTTATCAAGCAACTAGTTGTGCAAAATTGACAAATGTTTTATAGACTATTCATTGAAAACTTAATTTTGTGTTGACAGAAAAAAACTGAACAATTAAGTCATGCAATAACTCAGTATTTAGACTTTCACACTGCGTTAAATATAGTACTCTACAGTCAATTCGCTTTCTGTCAATGAAGTAGGGCGTTCGAAGTACCTTTCTGGATTTACCTTTTCACTCTTTCAGGAATGATCAAATCTAATCCTTTGAAAGCTAAGAAAGTGTAACTAGTTGAGAAGCTGGAGACGCTTTCCCCAAAAAACTTACGACTAAAATTGATCATAAGTCATGAGCAATTCAGTATACTTATGAGCAATATTAGTCGGAAGTTATTTTGTGAAACCGACGCCTTGAAAGCTTAATCAATAATTCATCGGAAAGTATCCAGAATTAACAAATAAATATTCTGTGATTACTTCACAAATAAAACAAGATGGTCGAGAGTTATAGACTCTAGTTGCTCAAGTATCTTTTGATTTACTTTACAGAGGGGCGTAAAGGGGGGTATCTGCACGGATAAAATCGAAATAAAATTGTCATTTCACGATGAATGAACAATTAAAAATTTCTTGCACATTGATCTTTTTACCGATTTCACGAAACACGGTGAATAACGAACCTTTATCACGGCTGCACCTGAAATAAAAATGGCAAAACACGTTGCACGAAAATAACCCCTTTACCACCCTCTTTGCAGTTTTCCTTTTATTTGTCATTGTGCTATTATGTTCCTTTTGGTCATTTAACTCCTGATGTGACTCGGTATTTATGCATCAGGCTTTTGAGTTTTTAGTTTTGGGCGTTCCCGGTGCAGGTGGGTGCAGAGGTGGGAAACGTATAATAAAATTCCAAACTCAAAGGCAAATTTAAAATGGGGAATTCCATAAAAACTAACAAAATCAAACACTATCAATCAACGGTACAAGTGAAAAACAACTTTATGATGAGAGTTTCACTGTTACAATAGCAGAACTCATCGTACCATTGCATGTGAAAATCCATATTAGAAATCCGGTAAAAAGTAATATAACAAAAATAACAAACTTCAAGGAAAATTCAAAACGAAGGTCCCTAATCAAATGGCAAAATCAAAAGCTCAAACACATCAAACAAATGGACAACAACTGTCATATTCTTGACCTAGAAATATCAGATATTCCAGTATTGATCTTAATGTAAGTATTGATCACTTCCATTTTCTGTTTAGATTGAAGCAGCTAATATGATATTGAAACGGTAGTAGCTGTTTATATAAAAACAGCATTGAAACAACTGTGCTTTATCTAACACCTTCATTTATAAGCACCATTTGTTGTGATGATTCATTTAAAAGTAGGATATATCTAAAATAATCAAATATTGACTTGTTCTCGCTAATGTATGTCAACGACTTTTTAAAAACAGCATCTGCCCTTCGTTGTATTTTCTGCTTTTGTTTAAATGTTGGCAATATTTGTATTTTAGGGCGTTATTCGATAACATGTTGACAACGGTATCAGCTAATATATTTGCAAAAGTTACAGGGATTCAAACTTTGTGAGTATTATTGGCATATCTGTAGAGCAGTATCTGCTTACCCGTCAAGAGCACCTGAGATCACGACCATTTTTAGTGGGGTTCGTGTTGCTTAGTTTTTATTTTTCTTTGTTGTGTTTTGTGTACTATTATTTGTCTTTTTCTTTTTTAGCCATGGCGTTGTCAGTTTATTTTCGATTTATGAGTTGGAATGTCCCTCTGGTATCTTTCGCCCCTTTTTTTAACGCTCCGTTTTTTACCTTCCTATATACTTAGAAATCATGATGCAATATTGAAAAGAAAATTACTATGCTTAGTTGAAAGAAGTTTTAGTTTTAGTAGTCAGCTAATTTTATATTATCTGATAAATGTTTCCCAAATATATTTATTTTAAATGATTTGCAAATTGATTTAAATATTTTTTAAATTCATCGCTTTTTGATAGTACATTACTGTTCTGTCATTACCCAGTGACTCAAGCCGGTCTTTTTTGTAATATTGGTTTGTTTTTGCACGTTGTGTTATTAAAAGTGATTTCATTGAATAGTTGTTAATTTACCAAACGAAGAATATATACGTTAAAGTGCATCTAAATGGTACTTACAGGTCAATGGACAGAAATCCACTGATATGTTGTTCCATGACTGATTGGTTTGATTGGGCTGCCAATCAAACCATAGCCAACTTCTTTACCGGTACTTGCACTGATTTTGATACAAGTACTAGAATACAAGATTTCAATGTATCAAAGTGTCCAGGTTAGTATTTAGTAACTTCATTTAAAGAGTAAACCAATCCATAGTTATACCAGCAGGAAAGGGCAAACAATCGTCATCATAATATATATTATAGTATATAATCGACTTCTTACTATAGGTGTAACACCGCTAATTTGGGCCCGGCCAGAAAGCACATACCAGAAAGAAGTACATATTTAACACAAAATAGTTCCTACTCATGAGTGTAACTTTCAAAATATGTAGAATATTGAGGCATTTTTGGTATCAAATGAAAGCTGAATAACTGGTTATCTTTGTTGAACATTTTTTGACTTATAATTTTGAATATGAAAAAAGTTCCACAAATTTTAAAAAGAGGGTACATTTTGCCTGTTTGTCAGATCTGAAGTACCTGTTTTGGTACATCAGAAGTTCAAGGAACCAGTTCTTTCTTGTATGCCATTAAAGGTATATATGTTAAATTTATCAGTACAAGACACCATAAAGTGTTGCTTTGACATGCAATAATTGTCACTTTAATTGAACTTAAAACAAAAGAGCTATACCAGCTTGAAATTAAGGAATTCAACATGATAGAAAGCAACGAGACCATGAATTAGTGGTGTACTTCCTATTACTTGTTCTTAATAAACTACGTGATGATATAAAACAGTCACAATATTTTTTAATAAACACAAAGTGACAAATTTTGCTAAAGCATTGAAGTACTGTTATTTTTAATTATACAAAAGAAACGCAAGTGTCAATATCATTATGCAAGCATGGAGGACCTTATATTTAAAAAAATGATGGTCACTTGCTTTTATTTCGTCTAAATTTTTATAAAACACGTCATTCAACTTGTATATATGCAGATTTTTATAATACACAAAGCTTTTCACATGTTGAATCAGTAAGTACAACGTTAAACACAAAACTACGACAGCAATTGTCTAGTTCTATGAAACAGTACCATACAATGTGCTATTGGTTCATTGTGGTTATATTTGTTTCCAAATTTGTTAGTTAAAAGTTTCTATCACGGTGGAGTGATAGCGTATTGAATTGAGCTATTTTCTATCTTTTTTTCTAGTCTTGTACAAGACTTAGGAGACAGGCAGATATTACAATGTAGATAGAGAAAATAGATTATGTACTATGTGCAATAGTCATATTGTTGAAGACGAATACCATTTTATTTTAGAATGTAATAGATATAATGATGTAAGAAAACAATATATTAAGAAATACTATTGGCAAAAACCATCCACTTTTAAACTTATACAGTTGTTATCAGTTAAAAATGTGAAAGAACTTAATAATTTAGGTAAATTTTTGTTCAACATCGAAAAAATCCGTAATACGTACATTTTGTAGTTGTATTCCTTATTTATCATATGAATTTATTGTCATTCTCCGCCATATGTGTATTTTGTATAATTATTGTTATTAATATTACACTGATGCATTTAAAAATTTGATGTAAAAAAAGTATATTCTATAAGCTGTATTGCTTCTGAATAAAAGTATTATTATTATTAGGATATCAAATACCAACCATAAAACTTTTGAGTTAAAAAAACTGTTCATAGATTACAAGTGATGCCCTTTGGCATGATATTCAAGAAATAACTTTTTAACAGAAAGTTCCCTGTCAAACATAAAAATGATCATTGAATATATCACCATTTATACATGGTATTTCTCCTGAATCTATATTGGTATTACGTAGCATTCATTTTATGTTAAACTGTATTATATGGGTAATATCATTCTTTAATACCTGACATAACTCTTTGACTTTTCATAGATTACAAACATTGATATTTAAGACATGACATTTAAGACATGACATTTAAGACATAACTTTTTCAGAAAAGTTTCCTGTAAAATATGAAAATAATCAACTAACGAATTGTAAAAAACATTTATTTGTTAATCATAAAAGATAAATATAATTTTTTTTAAAGTTGATGGCGCATGGGGCTCCTGGTCGAATCCAACATGTTCCGTTACATGTGGAAACGGTATTCAATCCAGAAATCGAACTTGTGACAGCCCAGTACCATCCGCGGGGGGAAAAGATTGTAATGGGTCCAGTGTAGATTCATCGGATTGCAGCTTAAGTGATTGTCCAGGTATTTGTTTGTACGGGGTTCAAAATAAATCCCATGTCTGTGTAATCAACATGTATCCAGTTTATTAGTTAGTCAGGTAGATTAGAAAAACAAATACTTAAAATGTCTACAAATTAAAGAACTTCGATTAAAACATGCTTCAATATTCACGAATATCAAATAACGGAGATAGAAAAGACAATGTTTTTTCTAGTTAAGAATCATAGTAAATATTGGTGTGAGCATTTCTGGTGACGATCGAAACAGACAAGCGCTCTAGTGACATGGAAAACACAGTTTTATTTTAATTTTTGAAGCGAAAACTCCACCTTGAAAATGAAAACTGATGTTAAAATGTGTCAACTAGGAGATCATTGTATTGTTATTTGGCCTAGGTAAAACGTATGTTTTACTGTTGCAATTTAAGTTTACCTAGCAACACGCTACGAAGATAGGTAACGTGATATCTGCAACAATAAAAAAAATGTACGTAATCCTAGCATAAAATACAATGTATTTAAATCAATTCCAACGGAAAATTTATAGACATTCCAGGGGTATACACAAATTCCAGACTATTGTTGGCTCTATGTAAGCTTCAGAAAAAAACTTGACTTAAGATAGATTTTTCGATGATTTATCTGAACATTTCTTTATGATTAAAGACAGAACATGTCAGAATTCGAACTGGCGGTCTCATTTATCAATGGAATGATTTACTGATACTTTACCCTGTCATATTATTTGATGTTGTCAAATCAAAATCGTGAAATCATTTGTGCGACTTAATTATTGGTATGTTAACAAATATCAAAGCAATGCAGGCACGTAGAGAAATGTGTCAATAATGCGCCAAAAAATAAATATAATGTGAAGTACCTGTTTTGGTACATCAGAAGTTCAGGGAACCAGTTCTTTCTTGTATGCCATTAAAGGTATGTTAAATTTATCAGTACAAGACACCATAAAGTGTTGCTTTGACATGCAATGATTGTCACTTTAATTGAACTTAAAACAAAAGAGCTATACCAGCTTGAAATTAAGGAATTTAACATGATAGAAAGCAACGAGACCATGAATTAGTGGTGTACTTCCCATTACTTGTTCTTAATAAACTACGTGATGATATAAAACAGTCACAATAATTTTTAATAAACACAAAGTGACAAATTTTGCTATAGCATTGAATTACTGTTATTTTTAATTATACAAAAGAAACGCAAGTGTCAATATCATTATGCAAGCATGGAGGACCTTATATTTAAAAAAAATGATGGTCACTTGCTTTTATTTCGTCTAAATTTTTATAAAACACGTCATTCAACTTGTATATATGCAGATTTTTATAATACACAAAGCTATTCACATGTTGAATCAGTAAGTACAACGTTAAACACAAAACTACGACAGCAATTGTCTAGTTCTATGAAACAGTACCATACAATGTGCTATTGGTTCATTGTGGTTATATTTGTTTCCAAATTTGTTAGTTAAAAGTTTCTATCACGGTGGAGTGATAGCGTATTGAATTGAGCTATTTTCTATCTTTTTCTAGTCTTGTACAAGACTTAGGAGACAGGCAGATATTACAATGTAGATAGAGAAAATAGATTATGTACTATGTGCAATAGTCATATTGTTGAAGACGAATACCATTTTATTTTAGAATGTAATAGATATAATGATGTAAGAAAACAATATATCAAGAAATACTATTGGCAAAAACCATCCACTTTTAAACTTATACAGTTGTTATCAGTTCACAATGTGAAAGAACTTAATAATTTAGGTAAATTTTTGTTCAACATCGAAAAAATCCGTAATACGTACATTTTGTAGTTGTATTCCTTATTTATCATATGAATTTATTGTCATTCTCCGCCATATGTGTATTTTGTATAATTATTGTTATTAATATTACACTGATGCATTTAAAAATTTGATGTAAAAATGTATATTCTATAAGCTGTATTGCTTCTGAATAAAAGTATTATTATTATTAGGATATCAAATACCAACCATAAAACTTTTGAGTTAAAAAAACTGTTCATAGATTACAAGTGATGCCCTTTGGCATGATATTCAAGACATAACTTTTTAACAGAAAGTTCCCTGTCAAACATAAAAATGATCATTGAATATATCACCATTTATACATGGTATTTCTCCTGAATCTATATTGGTATTACGTAGCATTCATTTTATGTTAAACTGTATTATATGGGTAATATCATTCTTTAATACCTGACATAACTCTTTGACTTTTCATAGATTACAAACATTGACATTTAAGACATGACATTTAAGACATGACATTTAAGACATAACTTTTTCAGAAAAGTTTCCTGTAAAATATGAAAATAATCAACTTAAGAATTGTAAAAAACATTTATTTGTTAATCATAAAAGATAAACATTATTTTTTTTAAAGTTCATGGCGCATGGGGCTCCTGGACGAATCCAACATGTTCCGTTACATGTGGAAACGGTATTCAATCCAGAAATCGAACTTGTGACAGCCCAGTACCATCCGCGGGGGGAAAAGATTGTAATGGGTCCAGTGTAGATTCATCGGATTGCAGCTTAAGTGATTGTCCAGGTATTTGTTTGTACGGGGTTCAAAATAAAACCCATGTCTGTGTAATAAACATGTATCCAGTTTATTAGTTAGTCAGGTAGATTAGAAAAACAAATACTTAAAATGTCTACAAATTAAAGAACTTCGATTAAAACATGCTTCAATATTCACGAATATCAAATAACGGAGATAGAAAAGACAATGTTTTTTCTAGTTAAGAATCATAGTAAATATTGGTGTGAGCATTTCTGGTGACGATCGAAACAGACAAGCGCTCTAGTGACATGGAAAACACAGTTTTATTTTAATTTTTGAAGCGAAAACTCCACCTTGAAAATGAAAACTGATGTTAAAATGTGTCAACTAGGAGATCATTGTATTGTTATTTGGCCTAGGTAAAACGTATATTTTACTGTTGCAATTTAAGTTTACCTAGCAACACGCTACGAAGATAGGTAACGTGATATCTGCAACAATAAAAAAAATGTACGTAATCCTAGCATAAAATACAATGTATTTAAATCAATTCCAACGGAAAATTTATAGACATTCCAGGGGTATACACAAATTCCAGACTATTGTTGGCTCTATGTAAGCTTCAGAAAAAAACTTGACTTAAGATAGATTTTTCGATGATTTATCTGAACATTTCTTTATGATTAAAGACAGAACATGTCAGAATTCGAACTGGCGGTCTCATTTATCAATGGAATGATTTACTGATACTTTACCCTGTCATATTATTTGATGTTGTCAAATCAAAATCGTGAAATCATTTGTGCGACTTAATTATTGGTATGTTAACAAATATCAAAGCAATGCAGGCACGTAGAGAAATGTGTCAATAATGCGCCAAAAAATAAATATAATGTGAAGTACCTGTTTTGGTACATCAGAAGTTCAGGGAACCAGTTCTTTCTTGTATGCCATTAAAGGTATGTTAAATTTATCAGTACAAGACACCATAAAGTGTTGCTTTGACATGCAATGATTGTCACTTTAATTGAACTTAAAACAAAAGAGCTATACCAGCTTGAAATTAAGGAATTTAACACGATAGAAAGCAACGAGACCATGAATTAGTGGTGTACTTCCCATTACTTGTTCTTAATAAACTACGTGATGATATAAAACAGTCACAATAATTTTTAATAAACACAAAGTGACAAATTTTGCTATAGCATTGAATTACTGTTATTTTTAATTATACAAAAGAAACGCAAGTGTCAATATCATTATGCAAGCATGGAGGACCTTATATTTAAAAAAAATGATGGTCACTTGCTTTTATTTCGTCTAAATTTTTATAAAACACGTCATTCAACTTGTATATATGCAGATTTTTATAATACACAAAGCTATTCACATGTTGAATCAGTAAGTACAACGTTAAACACAAAACTACGACAGCAATTGTCTAGTTCTATGAAACAGTACCATACAATGTGCTATTGGTTCATTGTGGTTATATTTGTTTCCAAATTTGTTAGTTAAAAGTTTCTATCACGGTGGAGTGATAGCGTATTGAATTGAGCTATTTTCTATCTTTTTCTAGTCTTGTACAAGACTTAGGAGACAGGCAGATATTACAATGTAGATAGAGAAAATAGATTATGTACTATGTGCAATAGTCATATTGTTGAAGACGAATACCATTTTATTTTAGAATGTAATAGATATAATGATGTAAGAAAACAATATATCAAGAAATACTATTGGCAAAAACCATCCACTTTTAAACTTATACAGTTGTTATCAGTTCACAATGTGAAAGAACTTAATAATTTAGGTAAATTTTTGTTCAACATCGAAAAAATCCGTAATACGTACATTTTGTAGTTGTATTCCTTATTTATCATATGAATTTATTGTCATTCTCCGCCATATGTGTATTTTGTATAATTATTGTTATTAATATTACACTGATGCATTTAAAAATTTGATGTAAAAATGTATATTCTATAAGCTGTATTGCTTCTGAATAAAAGTATTATTATTATTAGGATATCAAATACCAACCATAAAACTTTTGAGTTAAAAAAACTGTTCATAGATTACAAGTGATGCCCTTTGGCATGATATTCAAGACATAACTTTTTAACAGAAAGTTCCCTGTCAAACATAAAAATGATCATTGAATATATCACCATTTATACATGGTATTTCTCCTGAATCTATATTGGTATTACGTAGCATTCATTTTATGTTAAACTGTATTATATGGGTAATATCATTCTTTAATACCTGACATAACTCTTTGACTTTTCATAGATTACAAACATTGACATTTAAGACATGACATTTAAGACATAACTTTTTCAGAAAAGTTTCCTGTAAAATATGAAAATAATCAACTTAAGAATTGTAAAAAAACATTTATTTGTTAATCATAAAAGATAAAAATTATTTTTTTTTTAAGTTGATGGCGCATGGGGCTCCTGGACGAATCCAACATGTTCCGTTACATGTGGAAACGGTATTCAATCCAGAAATCGAACTTGTGACAGCCCAGTACCATCCGCGGGGGGAAAAGATTGTAATGGGTCCAGTGTAGATTCATCGGATTGCAGCTTAAGTGATTGTCCAGGTATTTGTTTGTACGGGGTTCAAAATAAAACCCATGTCTGTGTAATAAACATGTATCCAGTTTATTAGTTAGTCAGGTAGATTAGAAAAACAAATACTTAAAATGTCTACAAATTAAAGAACTTCGATTAAAACATGCTTCAATATTCACGAATATCAAATAACGGAGATAGAAAAGACAATGTTTTTTCTAGTTAAGAATCATAGTAAATATTGGTGTGAGCATTTCTGGTGACGATCGAAACAGACAAGCGCTCTAGTGACATGGAAAACACAGTTTTATTTTAATTTTTGAAGCGAAAACTCCACCTTGAAAATGAAAACTGATGTTAAAATGTGTCAACTAGGAGATCATTGTATTGTTATTTGGCCTAGGTAAAACGTATATTTTACTGTTGCAATTTAAGTTTACCTAGCAACACGCTACGAAGATAGGTAACGTGATATCTGCAACAATAAAAAAAATGTACGTAATCCTAGCATAAAATACAATGTATTTAAATCAATTCCAACGGAAAATTTATAGACATTCCAGGGGTATACACAAATTCCAGACTATTGTTGGCTCTATGTAAGCTTCAGAAAAAAACTTGACTTAAGATAGATTTTTCGATGATTTATCTGAACATTTCTTTATGATTAAAGACAGAACATGTCAGAATTCGAACTGGCGGTCTCATTTATCAATGGAATGATTTACTGATACTTTACCCTGTCATATTATTTGATGTTGTCAAATCAAAATCGTGAAATCATTTGTGCGACTTAATTATTGGTATGTTAACAAATATCAAAGCAATGCAGGCACGTAGAGAAATGTGTCAATAATGCGCCAAAAAATAAATATAATGTGAAGTACCTGTTTTGGTACATCAGAAGTTCAGGGAACCAGTTCTTTCTTGTATGCCATTAAAGGTATGTTAAATTTATCAGTACAAGACACCATAAAGTGTTGCTTTGACATGCAATGATTGTCACTTTAATTGAACTTAAAACAAAAGAGCTATACCAGCTTGAAATTAAGGAATTTAACACGATAGAAAGCAACGAGACCATGAATTAGTGGTGTACTTCCCATTACTTGTTCTTAATAAACTACGTGATGATATAAAACAGTCACAATAATTTTTAATAAACACAAAGTGACAAATTTTGCTATAGCATTGAATTACTGTTATTTTTAATTATACAAAAGAAACGCAAGTGTCAATATCATTATGCAAGCATGGAGGACCTTATATTTAAAAAAAATGATGGTCACTTGCTTTTATTTCGTCTAAATTTTTATAAAACACGTCATTCAACTTGTATATATGCAGATTTTTATAATACACAAAGCTATTCACATGTTGAATCAGTAAGTACAACGTTAAACACAAAACTACGACAGCAATTGTCTAGTTCTATGAAACAGTACCATACAATGTGCTATTGGTTCATTGTGGTTATATTTGTTTCCAAATTTGTTAGTTAAAAGTTTCTATCACGGTGGAGTGATAGCGTATTGAATTGAGCTATTTTCTATCTTTTTCTAGTCTTGTACAAGACTTAGGAGACAGGCAGATATTACAATGTAGATAGAGAAAATAGATTATGTACTATGTGCAATAGTCATATTGTTGAAGACGAATACCATTTTATTTTAGAATGTAATAGATATAATGATGTAAGAAAACAATATATCAAGAAATACTATTGGCAAAAACCATCCACTTTTAAACTTATACAGTTGTTATCAGTTCACAATGTGAAAGAACTTAATAATTTAGGTAAATTTTTGTTCAACATCGAAAAAATCCGTAATACGTACATTTTGTAGTTGTATTCCTTATTTATCATATGAATTTATTGTCATTCTCCGCCATATGTGTATTTTGTATAATTATTGTTATTAATATTACACTGATGCATTTAAAAATTTGATGTAAAAATGTATATTCTATAAGCTGTATTGCTTCTGAATAAAAGTATTATTATTATTAGGATATCAAATACCAACCATAAAACTTTTGAGTTAAAAAAACTGTTCATAGATTACAAGTGATGCCCTTTGGCATGATATTCAAGACATAACTTTTTAACAGAAAGTTCCCTGTCAAACATAAAAATGATCATTGAATATATCACCATTTATACATGGTATTTCTCCTGAATCTATATTGGTATTACGTAGCATTCATTTTATGTTAAACTGTATTATATGGGTAATATCATTCTTTAATACCTGACATAACTCTTTGACTTTTCATAGATTACAAACATTGACATTTAAGACATGACATTTAAGACATGACATTTAAGACATAACTTTTTCAGAAAAGTTTCCTGTAAAATATGAAAATAATCAACTTAAGAATTGTAAAAAACATTTATTTGTTAATCATAAAAGATAAAAATTATTTTTTTTTTAAGTTGATGGCGCATGGGGCTCCTGGACGAATCCAACATGTTCCGTTACATGTGGAAACGGTATTCAATCCAGAAATCGAACTTGTGACAGCCCAGTACCATCCGCGGGGGGAAAAGATTGTAATGGGTCCAGTGTAGATTCATCGGATTGCAGCTTAAGTGATTGTCCAGGTATTTGTTTGTACGGGGTTCAAAATAAAACCCATGTCTGTGTAATAAACATGTATCCAGTTTATTAGTTAGTCAGGTAGATTAGAAAAACAAATACTTAAAATGTCTACAAATTAAAGAACTTCGATTAAAACATGCTTCAATATTCACGAATATCAAATAACGGAGATAGAAAAGACAATGTTTTTTCTAGTTAAGAATCATAGTAAATATTGGTTTGAGCATTTCTGGTGACGATCGAAACAGACAAGCGCTCTAGTGACATGGAAAACACAGTTTTATTTTAATTTTTGAAGCGAAAACTCCACCTTGAAAATGAAAACTGATGTTAAAATGTGTCAACTAGGAGATCATTGTATTGTTATTTGGCCTAGGTAAAACGTATGTTTTACTGTTGCAATTTAAGTTTACCTAGCAACACGCTACGAAGATAGGTAACGTGATATCTGCAACAATAAAAAAATGTACGTAATCCTAGCATAAAATACAACATGTACAATGTATTTAAATCAATTCCAACGGAAAATTTACAGACATTCCAGCGGTATACACAAATTCTAGACTATTGTTGGCTCTATGTAAGCTTCAGAAAAAAACTTGACTTAAGATAGATTTTTCGATGATTTATCTGAAAATTTCTTTATGATTAAAGACAGAACATGTCAGAATTCGAACTGGCGGTCTCATTTATCAATGGAATGATTTACTGATACTTTACCCTGTCATATTATTTGATGTTGTCAAATCAAAATCGTGATATCATTTGTGCGACTTAATTATTTGTATGTTTACAAATATCAAAGCAATGCAGGCACGTAGAGAAATGTGTCAATAATGCGCCAAAAAAATAAATCTATATTTGTTTTATTGATGCTTAACGGTTTAAAAGAAACAATCGAGACTAACATTCACACTTTATACGAAGTTAAGTCAACTTTCCTATGTCATATACTTCATGGACTAAAGTAACACAACTAAATTTTATGAATTGTTTTGGGGGATTGCAGTCGGTATAAACCAATTATACAGTGAAAAAGGTACTGATCAATTAGAAGATTTGATTTTGATTTTTGGTGTTTTAACGCTACTTTTAAGCACCGCTTTTGGGCTATTGCGTGTCGGCCAGTTTGTATTGGTGGAGGAAGCCGGAGTGCCCGGAGAAAACCATCGACCTTCGATAGGAAAACTGGCAATCCTAGTCAATTAAGATTGGAGTCGAGTGCACCCGCACGAGCGGGGTTCGATCTCACAACCTCAGTGTTGACTGGCTAGTGATTACAGGAGTAACTACTTTGACCACTCGGCCCCCGAGGCCCCTTCAATTAGAAGACATTTGTAACTTATCTGGTTACAGAGTGTATAACGGATCATACAGATAACTTTTATTGTCTTGTGTCAAACAGGTTTGTGGGAAAACCTCCATCAATTGCACTTCAAATTGGAAAGATTTCTAACGATTCTTTTTTTATTGATCAAGGATTGCTAAATCTATGAAAATTAAAACCAACATTATTTTAGATAGAAGAACCAAACCTCTCTTAAATAATCAGCATTTCAACAACTTCAAAAACCCGTACCGATTTCCTTTACTTGTAACAGCGCTGATTTATTTTTGCAACTTTGCCGACAAATTGATCATAGCACTTGATGCAAGGCTGTATCTTTTTTGAAAGGAATTTGGTGAAAAAAGACAAACGGTGTTCAGTCCCACACAAACATTTTAATAAAAGAGATATGTTGTTTTTAACATAAACGTTGTTTTTTACTTAGCATTGATTCAACGGTAATCGAGCTAACTTTTTTACTCTCTCATTAATCGACATTGTCTTAAGTCAAAAAAGATAGTTGTTTTGAAAACAATAATGCTGTCAAATATCAAATATAAATACAAAATTTTATAGCAAATTCAAATAAAGTTTCATCTGTTAAAGTTGATGGTCAGTGGGGTTCCTGGTCGACTGGACCATGTTCTGTCACATGTGGTAATGGAATAAGATATAGAAAGAGAAGTTGTGATAGCCCACTAGCTTCTAACAATGGACAAGATTGTATAGGTTCTAGCACAGTCTCCGTGAACTGTACCTTAGGAGTATGTACAGGTACGTTTACATATTAAGCAAATAATGCTTATCAAGATTTATAAGATTTTAAAGTCGATTTCATTTTGTTGGCCCTAAGTATGTGGTGTACCCATGTTTATTTACCACCGATCCCTTTGGCAGCTTGATTGAGTTGTGACACTCAAGAGGACTGCCCTATAAAAACACCACAATTCAGGACAGCTACTTATAATGACATACATTTTACTAATTGAAATTTTACATCATTCTTGACATGCTAAATATAAGGGAATGTTAACCTGTTTGGTTAATCATAATATCTCGTGTAATGAACATAGCAGTAATTCATTTATCACTTCAAATGTATTAAAACACTTGTTTAACTGAAGGCAAAGACGAAAACCTGACATTTATTGAGCTAATAAGAACACGTACAATGATATGCAGGAACATAAGAGCCTGCTGAATGTGGCATGAAATATTTCTAAAGTTGATTTGACAAATTTAAAGACCACGTTGACATTCACTAGTGTGTATAATGAATTCAAGCTTCCCATATATAACAAAATGTGGTACGAATACAACTGTAATAACTATCAACCGGAAACAGAGAATAACGTGAATGTAAGAAACTATAGGTCACCGTACGGCCTTCAACAATGAGAAATACTGATATCGTATCGTATTGTAAGTTCTGTACATTGTACGGCCTTCAACAATGAGACATAAGAAATACTCATACAATGTTGTAAGTCTTGGACATGGACAAAATAAGTAAAAAAAGGAAAACAATGACCCGATTTATGCAAAAAAATATGCTAGGCAGCAATCAACGACAACCATTTTATTAAAGAATTGTGACAGGCCATATTAATTTGTGTCGTGGTCAACATGTTTCTGAATGCTAAGTCTTGTGCCTAACTTCTGTCAGTGGTGTAACAACGACCAATTTGAACTAATTTGGAAAAAAAACAAATGAAAATGGCACGTATTTTATTTCCGAAATAGTACATGAATGTCACATGAATGAAATACTAGTCATTGTGTCAATGAAATTTTTGCATTGATATTGTATATATTTTCTATTGTGATGAATAATGCCAAAAGAATACGTATTGCTTACTAAAATAATTAATTCTTATCATGTGAGTTTTGTGTTACTATCGAATTTTTTTTATATATAGCTGGTCACCTAAATGGAATGTATAAAATTGTATTTACAGAACTATGTAAAGAATCAGAAAAGAAACTAGGTAAATGATTTTAAATTTACAGTTTTATTTTTATGAACGTGGATCTAAAAAATATAACATTACACTTTATTATTTGCATGCGTTCAACATGTTCAAAGCGCTTTTCTGATAGCATATTGTTACCCATTTATGACTTGAAGCGCTACATATGTATGCTCATGTTACGATTGTATAGTAATATGCTTTTGGTCTATATGTATATCCGTCGATTTGTCTGTTCATCGTTCCTAATGAGGTTAAATATATTTTTTAAGGTATTTCTTCAGAAGGTTGTGGTCAAATTTTCTTTACACTTGGTACACATGTGTATATGATGTGCAATATTTGAGGGTTTGAATTCGATGACAAAGTTCTCTAGCATAGTAAAGTAGTTACCTGAGACACTGTGTTATATGGAGCCAGATTATTGTTTATCTTATTTTGATATGTACATATTGTACCTTTGCTATGTGAACTGAACGCCTCGATGGTCTTATGGTTGCATTTTTGCCTCGAGTGCGGGAGGTCATGATCAAACATCAGACTTCAAAATGGAATGTGCCGACAAAACCGATTTAATTAAGCATGCGGCATTAAGAAATAATGTCTCCTGGTTTTATAACATGTCTGCCTGCTGACTTTTTTGTAAACCAAATTAAGCTATCGACATATTTTAATAGTCTTAGAACCAGAATAGTGGTATAATCTGTAGATTGTCAAACCTGGCTTGATTGTGATTTTAAAGGCCTAGCAATGCATACATAGCAAGAGACAATAACCCTCTCGACCCACCTTCAGGTTTTGTAAGTTTCATTCATTTATTAGCATGTTGAACCTATGGATGTACAATGTCTACCGATTGCATATTATGTTCTATTCTTTGAAAATCAATAGTAACATGAAACTATTTTAATGCCATTTTTCTTCTTATTCTTTTTTATCATGTAGAATCAAGGAAAATGAAAGCAAGAAAATGGAAAAGATATCATGATAGAAATCTGAAAAGAAGAAAAGATAAGAACAACAACTAACATGTACTACATGTTTGTCTTGTAACTTATGGAAGATGCAAGACAATGGCATTATTTTCCTAAAGGAAACTTTAACCAATCCGTATGAATATATGTATTTTGGAATAACAGACCTAAACTGTTTTATCTAGCATTTATCTGTAAATAAATATTGATATTATCTTAGTGTTTTACTTCTCTCATATACATGCCAACTTCTCTTTGGATTTGATTTTCTGTGATGAAGTTAAATCAAGATGCGAGCTTCGGATGCTAATACTTTTTAATGTGCGATTTTAATTTTCTAGCACTGGGTTGATACGGCCTTTGCTGGACATTAAGCCCGTGAGGATACATTAGCACAGTAGTCAGTGCTGAGAACTGACATGATTTATAAAAACAGATCTTAAATTTTGCATTGATTAATTTTGAAATTATAATGAAATGAAGGTTTCAGTTCCCTCAGGCAAAGTATACCTTTGATAAATGTTGCTATGTTTTTGGTTCATTTGAGCTCTTCGCTTGTTGCGGTAGTTATACATACTTGGCTTTCACATTTGTGGCTTTGAAAGTTCCTAATGAAGGCGAATAAAAAAATCAAACAAAATCGTTTCAAACGAACTAAATTTATAAATAGATATAAGAAGATGTGGTATGAGTGCCAATGAGACAACTCTCCATCCAATTCAAAATTTATAAAAGTAAACCATTATAGGTCAAAGTACAGTCTTCAACACGGAGCCTATTTTTTAAATCATTTTTGAATAATCCTGTCTTGCAGTTATAGATATACATGCATATATGAAAAAAACATTGTGACTGCTTCAACCGTCTTTTTCTATGAACTTCAAAGCGTTCGAATCTTTATAATCTTTGAATGAATAATAATTTAATTCAATTTCGAGCGTCACTGATGAATCGTTTGTACACAAAACGAGTGTGCCGGATGTTAACAGTTTAAAGCATGATGTATTGATGATTTTATTAAGAGTAATAATCATTTATGGGTCATAAATGACAACATAAATGTAACAGATATCGGATGATTAACACCACTGACACAGTTTCTGAGGATAGAAATAAGAGTATGCATTGCAACCTACTGTGTTCTTTATGTCTCATCCAAATTTTGTAATCATTATCGGTGCAAAGAACAACTTGAACATAATAAAGAGTACAATCACATGTCGAAATCATGGATATAGTTTGTTAATAAAAATAATGACATGATTTGCACATTAGGAAAAGGCCGTAAAATAATTGTTTCATTTTTTTGCCAGTGGTGTTGAAAGAAAATAATAAAAAAAATTGTTAGAATAAAACACTCTTACTGTTGTCGAACATTTCGTTTAACATCAATATATGAAAAGATTTGGTATTATTGTCTATGAGACAAATGTCAACCAGAGGACAAATGACATGGGAGTTAGCAACTATCAAGTGTATCAAATTCATTTCACCTGTATTAGGTTTGGGAATGAAATGCAACAGAGATATTGTCTTAGGGTAAATTCTTCAGTTGACAATGATACACACAGATATATAAAATCTACGGTTGTCGGTAGTTGAAGTCGGTATGCAAACGTGTAGGTATCTTTGATAGTTACGCTGTTTGGTTGCTATTTGTTTGTCCTTTTATCGAAACATTTCAGTTTTAATATGAAATTAGCACGTCATACATGTGATACGTTCAAACTGCCTTTGTTTGGTTTGTGTACATCAGAAATGATAAAACCAAATACAAAAATGCCAAGGATTTATACATACCTTAATTGGAGTCATATTCAATAGTGAACTGATTTGTACAGTAAAACCTGTTTAAACCGTATGGCTATGCGACTTTGAAAAAGGGCAGGTTCAGACACACAGTGGCTCGGTTTCTATAATAACAAAGAATTGGCCCTTACTTTTGTCAGCATTACGTTATGAAACTTATAATACAGTGTAATATCAAATACATGGATATTAGGTTATTGTCTTTTACATATTGCTCCGGGTATCATACATCGACCCATATTAGACCTCGACTTAAGTCTCGGGATGATATGGGGGTCTTTAGATGATATTCGGGGTGATATTGAAAAGGCCATGTATTGATGTTTTTATCATATACCTCTGACAAATTGTTTAAATTGAGGTAAATAACATGTATTCACCTTTTCTGAGCCATTTACAAATGAAAGTTATATTTCTAGACAATGTATGGTTATTCTTAATATAATGCAACTGTAAAAACTGCTCCAAATCATATATTTAGTGTAAAACCATCATTTAAGATTTTGAACAGGACGACTTAAAATTTCGCGAACCTGTATTCTGTATTGACGTCATAGATAATGTTCTACGGAAACGAATTTGTAAGCGTCAAAACAAAGCGATATACGTTCAGTGACTATATATATAACTCCTATGAATATACGGTCAATACAATTTGACTGCTGAAATACCACAGTTGCAACATTAATACTGTTAACCAACTAACTTTCGCGAGAAGAAAAATAACGCGAATATAAATTGTGGCCAATATGTTAAACTTTGATCTTTTCATATATTAATACATTAATGAAATTAAAATATCGCGAAAATAAATCGCCGCGAAGTCCAATTGAAACATCAAACCGCGAAATTAAGTATTCCCGAAAATTAGTTGGTTTACGGTAAACCGATAACCCTTTGTCATGTCTTTGTGTGTCAGATATTATTTGTAAACAGACGATACCGGAAATATTGCCAATGAAATGCTCTATCAAAGACCAAAATGAAAAAACAGTTAACAACTATAGGTCACCGTACGGCCTTCAACAATTAGAAAAGTCATTACCAAATAGTCAGGTATAAAATGCCCCGAAATGACAGGTGAGAAAACTAACGGCCTGAATTATGTACAAAACAACGAACGAAATACAAATATAATATACGCACAGCAACAAACAACAACCACTGAATCACAGGCTATAGACTTAGGACAGGTACATACAGAATGTGGCGGAGATAAACATATTGCGGGCGACCAATCCCCCCTAACAAGTGGTGTAACAGAAGAACATATGAACAAACTATCAAAAAAAAATATTGAAAAGGGTTCAACTCATCAGACCGATACATAGCAGAATACAAGTACCAAAAAACACAGACCAGATGTGGCAGGGTATTTATACATCCACACAAAAAATAACAAAAAATAAAAAACAAAAAACAAAAACTACATACAGATATGAGAGTACTCGCAGTTACTGACAGTTAGTTCAAAGCCAAAAACAACTAATAAAACATCATGTGTCTAAGGCTGAAATATTAATCAGTACATTTCCAACATCCACTGGATGTAGTGTAAAGACAACATTAACAGTCAGAGAAAAAACCCGATGTTGTGCAATACTTAAACAGAGGTAACGACAGATTGTAGAACCGTGAATTTGTAAATGTATATCTATATGACAATATTAATAGTTTTAATCTACTTATAACAAAAACAATATTTTTAGCAATAAAAACTATTTTTTTAGATCTATTTACAGTGTTGAATTGGAAACCTTTTAGAATAAGTTTACTTAAAGGATCGATAAGTTTATCCGGATCGTATTAAAATTTCCGGGCATGGTAAACAACATCTCAGTAAAAATTAGAATGTGCTGTCCCGTTTAAAAACAGTTTTCTAAAGGTGCAGCCGACTTCCAAACCAAATATTAGTATTTATTGGAGAATTTAGTATATGCTTTAAGTAATTTTTGGTAACGAAATCCCTGACTTAACAATTTACTAGTAATACATAGGTTACGTTTATTTAAATCCAAAACGCCACATTAGACACGGGCAAAGCGAATGAGTGGGGATATATAAACACTATAAGATGATGCCAAAGGTACATCACCATCCAATAAAGGAAATTAAACAACAGGGAGAGAAAAATCGTCCCTTTTTGTTGTAAAAGAGGAACGAAAGATACCAGAGGGACAGTCAAACTCATAGATCGAAAACAAACTGACAACGTCATGGCCAGAAATAAAAGACAAACAGACAAATAATAGTACAGATGACACAACATAGAAAACTAAAGACTAAGCAACACGAACCCCACCAAAAACTGGGGGTGATCTCAGGTGCTCCGGAAGGGTAAGCAGATCCTGCTCCACATGTGGCACCCGTCGAGTTGCTTATGTTATTACAAATCCGGTAAATAGTCTAATTCGGTAAGTCACATTCGTGAAAAGGGAAGGGTATTGATGTTGAGTTGCCCATGTAAATACTGAAATATCTAATTCTAGGAACGGACGGTTATTACCGTTTATAGTTGACTTATTCAAAGTAAGTTTCATTGGGTAAATTTCGGTAGTATATTTAGAAAATGTTTGATTATTCAATGAGAAAATGTCATCCAAATAATGATAAATGCTGTTGAAATTTTCAATTGAATGCAATTTAATCAAATATTCTAAATGGTTGTCTTTAGACTCAACGGTTACTTTGAGATGGAGTACTGCAAGGAGGGAGTTGTCCCTTTGATCTTTTTTTTTTCCGTGAGTGTGCAGAGATTTCGTGGCATGTATTGATACATTAAATATTTCATAGCTCTAGAATTTTTAACACGGTAAATCAAGAAATTATTGCAATAGTCTTCTGGTTTGCAAATAATTATTCCAACATGGATAAAAATTGTATTTAAGCATGTTGCGTGTGACTTTTAATTTTGTCAAAATATGCTTGTTTAAGTGCTTCTGATATGTCATCATTTTATGTTTGATTATCATCATTTAGATACATGTATTTCTTACTTAAGTCTGCCATAAATGCTTTTTTAGATGGTGACGTGCCCTTGTCACCATCTTATAGTATTTATATATATTAACTTGTTCGATTCGTTCGTGTATGTAACAACGCGTTTGGTTTTAACGAAAGAAATTTCTGTATTACTGAAAAAATACTACACCAGGATTTTCGATATCACAAACTAGTCAAAACATTTACTAAATTTTATCATTGGTACAAGGACATCATTCGTAAATATAAATCAACATGCAGACACCTTATACGTTTAGGTATTTCACATCCAATTTTTTATGGTAATATTCTATACAAAACACAAAAATGTCGACATTCACCTCAAAAGCTAACCAAACCTTTAAACAGACTTAATCAGAAGGAATATAGTTATGATACTGTTGTCAGATCATTAGAAATGGCATATTTTGGTATTAATATTGATTCACTCAAAGGGTCTTTGCATCGGGCATAAACATATTTATTCTAAAACCAGTTGCTGGCATGATATGGGTTATGTTCTTCTCATATATTTTATGATGGTATGATACTAAACCCCTAACGGGAGGGATTGTCCTTGATTTCATATGATGAAAACATAATCTTTCAATCAGTTTAATCCTGGTCTGAGGCTAGCATATCAGTAACTGCTAGTAGTCCCTTGTTAATTTATGTATCATTGTTATTTTGCTTAGTTTCTTAAGTTACCTATTCTGACATCGAACTCGGACGAGTTTTACTGTGCGTATTACTGTGTGTTTGTTTATTCTACATTGGCTAGAGGTATAGGGGGAGGTTTGGGATCTCACAAAACATGTTTAACCCCGCCGCATTTTTGCGCCTGTCCCAAGTCAGGAGCCTCTGGCCTTTGTTAGTCTTGTATGTTTTTTAACTTTAGTTCATTTATATGTTTTGGAGTTTAGTGTGACGTCCATTTTCATCGAACTATTACACTTTTTGTTTAGTGGCCAGCTGAAACCCGCCTCCGGGTTCGGGATTTTCTCGCTGTGTTGAAGACCCATTGGTGGCCGTCGGCTGTTTGGTCGGGTTGTTGTCTCTTTAACACATTCTCCATTTCCATTCTCAGTTTTATTTTTTACTTGTTAAGGTGCAGTATATTGAATGATAAGAGAGAAAAAAAATAAGTAGATTGCCTTTGTAAATTTAACGACATCTTTCTATGGAAGATTTACATGATATTTTAAAGTTGGAAACTTTCTATTGCCGAGAATATTCATAGCTTGATTGAATTTTTCCCTGTCGGAAGTTCTAAACATATATTCCAAAAGATTCCTTTTTAGTGAACTTTTTTTGGGGGGTTGAATAGTAATCCAATCTTTTTCAACATGTCCAAATATCCCTAATATAGATATAAATGAAAATGTTTAAATGCTGAACCTATGTGTTGGCCATCTCAAACAAAGCATGGATTTTGAATAACAATAATTGCAGTTTGGTCTTTATGTCAAACTATATCTAAAAATATAGATTTTCATTGAAATTCGAAAATGTTGAATAATTTACTCCTTTTAGTAGCCATCATGCAAAAAGTGGTCATTTTGAGAATAAAAAAAATGACTCCATTTAATTTGGCATGTCAAACTAGCTACGTCTCAAAATAAAAGTTCATTAAATCAGACAAATTAAAAAAAAATACCGCTTTGTCGACAATGCCGAAAATGGTAGCTGTTTTTATATTTATTGTCCCCATCTTGTTTAGTGCGTGAACCTACACGCAAATATTTTTTTTTC